GAAGAGCAAATCCCAACTCCCGATGTTGAAATGAATCATAATACTCCTACCACAGGAGCTACAGTTACTCCTACTCCTACCGATGTTGATCACAAATTCGGTGGCGATGATTCTGCATTTAGAACTCCTAAAGGCCAAGATCCGATATGTGGAACTTCTTCAAGAAGATAGAAGTCACACAGGATCAACACGGTAGACTTCTCACCCAAAAGGCTAAGTGTGCGTTGTGTGGCCATATTTTCCAAGCTCATCATAAAAGCGGCACCAACCAGCTCAAACGCCATTTAGAAAAGCACAAAAATGTTAGGCAACGCCTCAATGTGATATCCGACAATCTTTACTCTCCCAATCCTCATCTTCCGGTAGTCTTGGTAGTAGGAACTATGACACAATCCGAGCTAGGAAATGTGTCATCAGGTTTATTATTCTTAAAAACCTTCATTTTAAATTAGTAGAAGATGATGAATTTAAAAATATGTTTACTGATAGTTTTTATCCCATATTTAAAAAATTTCTCATTAAACTTGTCAACGTGATATTTTGAAATATTATCACGAGGAACAAGGAAAAATAATTTTTTATTTTTAAAGTTTAAACTATAAATTTTCTTTAACTTCTGATATTTGGACATCTAGAGTACAAACTGGTTATTTATGTATCACAACACACTGGATTGATGATAATTGGCAAATGTTTAAAGGAGTTATTTCTTGTATTGCATTTGAAGATTCACATTGTGGTATTAATATTACAAATTTAATAATTGAAGAACTTATAAAATTAGAAATTAAAAAAAAAATATTTTTCCTTTCACTAGATAATGCAAGTAATAGTAATGTAGCTGCTGATCATATTAAATTATCTTTGCTATTGCCATGTCATGGTGATATTTTTCATATTAGATTATTTGTCATAGTTTAAATTTAATTGTTCAAAGTGTATTTTGTAAAATTAAATCCATGATATAAAAGGTTAGGACAGTAGATTATGCTCATAATGTTTCTAAACAAAGACTTAAAAGATAAAAACAATTGTGTAAAAAAAAATTTAGACCCAGATTAATTCTAAAAGATGTTGACCATAAATGGAATTCTATCTATGCAATGTTAAATATAGCAATGGAGTATAAAAACATATAAATAATTTTATTGTTTTCTATACTTCTAATTCTAGCTGTGGTAATATGTATGGAATAACTAAGGATGAATGATCGGTTATATATAGTGTAAAAGAGATGTTACAAGTTTTTTATGATGCTACTATGTTATTATTTGGTTGTTATTAACTGACTATTATTCAAGCTGCTTTACAAGTTTTAAATATTCAAAAATTTTAATAATTATCGTATGGATAATTATTTTGGAAATATGATTTTTCAAGTTGAAAGTAAATTTAATAAGTATTTTAGGCCTATTTCTATTGTTTTTGGTTTGAGGGTTCTTATTGATCCTTTTTTGAAGGATATTGGCTTTCGAAGTTTGTTAAATTCTTTGTATGGTACCATGATAATAGACACTGATGATGGTCAAACTATTACTGCTCTTATTCATCATAATACTATTAGAATTTATTTTCAAATATTATATGATGAGTATGCAGCTAGATATGGTGTTAGTACACATAAGTCTACAGCTTCTGCTTCTACGAGTTCAAGTCGGGGCAAAGGTATGAGTTTTGATAAGGAATTATTGATAGCTTAGCTAACTGGTGGATCTAGATCTGGATCATTAATGAAAGTTTATATTTAACTGCATCTTTAGTTAAAAGTCAAAATAATAATTCGATATTTTGCAATAGAGGAGAGTATATGGAACCGTTTCATATCCTATACTTTTCATCATGACTCGTGACTTACTGAAATTGCAAAGTTTTCACGGTAGCTTCGGAATCCGACAACATAGCAGGACGTTTGATCGACGACCACATGACATCGTTAGATTCGTATACAGTACAGACGATAATGTGCCTACAAGATTGGTGGAGGCACGAGAAGAGAACTCAAGGCATCGATCAGATGGTCAGTGTTGAAGATCAACTTGAAGAGTTGGGAATGCATATAGGGATAAAGAGTACAAATTATTCATTAGTTTGTAATTTTTATTTCTTAGCTAAAAATTTGTAATAAATTATTTTAAAAAGAGTTGCAAATGATAGTGATATAAATGAGTAGGTGCCAAGATAGTTGGGATGTATTCATCTACTGTGATGCGATAAATTTCAAAATAAATTTATAATTATTAGTGATTTACTGATTATTAATAAAGAATTTATTTTTATCATTTTTATTTCTATAATTTTTTTATATTTGTAAATTATATAATTATAAGTAATTAATAATATGATTATTTTTTTTATCAAAAGTTCGCTTAATTTATTGTTATTTACTCTTGAAATAAAAAAAAAGAAAAATGACCGGGCCCAGTCCTGATTTGCCTAGTCGGGCCAAGCGGTCCTTTTGGACAGTCCTGATACTAATACAACAAAAATATAATTGCATCTTTTTACCGCTTGACATTTCCTAAAAGCTCTAAAATTTAATAACTAATAATCTTTATTTTCATCATCTCATCTTAATTCACTCTCATCCGCATATTGAGATTCTCTACTCTTTGTTTTATACCATTAGCTTTATTCTCTCTTTTCAAAAAGCCTTAATTTTTGGGAAAAATGTTTCAAGGCCCCAAAACAAAAAAGCGGATGTGGGCAGGCCCCCTGTATTTTTTTTGGTGTGACAAACCCCCCAAAACCAAACTTAATACTTAATCAGCCCTTTTTTCATTTCCAAGACAACTTTAAGAGAAAAGTTCAGGCGTTCAGACCAAAATACCCTTTTGTACCCGTTCCCCCCCAGCCTGGCCGCCTTCTCTCTCTCTCTCTCTCTTCTCTCTCTCTGTATCTTCTTCACCGCAAACCTCCATTAGCTTTCGAACCCATTTTCAAAACCCTAGTTTCACTCAAGCGGCTAGGAAATCTATTTTGAAAATGCCCCAAAAAAATTTAAGTAAAATGGCTAAGAACCGTAAGCGTAGCAAGTATGAAGTGGACAACACTCAAACGGAACAGGACGTTCGTCACCGGCGTCGGTCGGCACGATTGGCGCAGCAGGAAATTCCAAAGTTATCCGCCTCCGCCTCTGCCTTGATATCGCCCGCCGGCAATTCTGCTCCGACATCCTCTGAGGATGAGGAGAGTAACGAGGCGACGGAAACCCTATTGAGCATGAAAAGTCTGGATATTCGAGAACACAAGAGGAGACGCTTGCCAGAGGATGTGTCCATCTTAAAGAAGAAGTAATTCCTAAGCAATTGAGTGTTTTTGAATTTAATTAGTTTAAATGAGTGATTTTGATTTTAATTGAGGTTTATGGGATCTTTTTTTGAATAAAATGGTGGTGAGAGACTGGTTATTGTAGTGTAGAACCAGTTTCGTAATTTTGGAGTAAGATCTGAACAATACGAAGTGTTATCAGTTTGGAACAAATGCATGTAAATAATTCTCATTTGTTGATAGCTAGTTGCAATGCATGTCAATAAATCTTGGTTGTTGTTAACGTTTATGCATAAGTGTCAAGTATTAGCTATTCATGTTAATAAAACGAAATTTTGACTCAGATAATGCCTTTACGGTTAATTGTTACCTACTTTGGAGTTGAACGACTTGTTAAGAGTAAATAGTTGTTTATGCAGGAAAGCTACAGCCGAAGGTGATATACGGCCTAGTGCCTGTCTTGGATCATATTGTACTTTCATGCAAAGACTTCAACCAAAACTGAAGCAGTGGCATTGGGATGCCTACAAGGGCAGTAACTTTGAGCACTATGTATTCTTCGGACCTCCAGCACGTGATCGACGGGCACTAGAGCATGTGCTCAGCCATTATGTTGGCGAAACTGATGAATTCTCTTTTTCTGATCCCATAAGCGGGACTATATTTTCAGTCCAATTTGATGAAGAGTGGGTGCAAACTCACACGGGCTTCCCTATTGATGGGGAATTGATCTACGGGAATAGACACCCGCACAACCGGCTTTGGAGGGAATATTTTGAAGAGAAGAAAGAAATGCTAAAGGCAAAGTCAAAGGCGAAGGCCAAGGCCTCACAAGAAGCTGGTAGCATGAGGAGATATGTTGAGGAGTTACTGGAAACACTGGTTGAGTCTTCTGAAAATAAGGACATTGAGGATTTTGTGCTGCTTCAGATCTTGTACCAGTGTGCAATGATTTGGTGCCCCAACAGCTCACAAGGCATTCCAAGACAGTTGTTTCAATATGTAGATAGTATTGAGAGAGTGAAGAACATTGCGTGGGGTAAATTTATTTTTGATGAGACGAAGAGAGGCATTCAAATTGCCGTTGAAGGGTTGAGGAAGCCAGGGGTTACATACGTACCTGGATGCATGCCGCTCATCCCTGTAAGTTGCATGACCAACTGGTCTGACATTTGTTTTAGTTAACATTAGTCTTGGTAACAGGCATTAGAAAACATGTACAATATTAAATGTTTACAGAATATGGTTAAAATTAACATGTTAACATGAACTTTAACATATAAAAATTAAAGTTAACATTAATAGGTGAAAGTTAACATGTACCCATTAATGTTAACATGTTTTGGTGAAAGGTAGCTATTTAGAGTGTAGTTGAAGAATGAGTTCTGAAAGTTAACTATTTTGATATTCGTTCCTTCGATTCTGACAGCTATGGTACTATGAGATGACTGGCATTAAAAAACCAGCCCTAAACTTGAGATGGAAGCCTCCGATGACCAATTGGGTAAGGATTGGAGGGACTGCTGGATCGTTGAGGATGGAGACAATTGTCTCTAAGGCCAAGAAAGCAAGCATTAAAATCATGGAGAGACCAATTACGACCAGCATTGAATGGGGTGAAAAATACCCTCAAGGTGAAAAATACCCTCAACGGGAGCCTAGCAGGAAGAAGATTGAAATCGCTCGCTTTGGGAAAAAAAAGAAGCCCAATTGTCTCATATAGGAGTAAGGTTATGGAGCAAACTAGGGTGAGAAAGAAGAATGAGGAAGAAAAGGTAAAGGATGGGAAGCAAGATAAGGTGAAGGGCAGGACAAGGAGCTCATCCATAGGTTACGTAAGCATCAATGACTCTTTACACATTCTTGCATATTACCAATTGAGTTAAATTTTCTATCTTTATCATTAGTTAATTTTCCATGTACTCATTGTTTCATGTTAACATGTTTTGGGTAAGAAAATTACATTGTGGATTCTCATAACTATTTTTTTTAATATTGTGGATACATATGGGTAATGGGTATATGGTTTACTTTTCAGATTTTGGCCCAGCATATTAGAGATGCTTTTGAGAGTGAAGATGAAATAGAGAAGTTGACAACCGAAGATCAAATTCAGTTTTGGCGGAATACGGCCAAAATTAATTGGAAACTGCTCCACACTGTCAAGCGTAGTAAGCGCCTTCAATGGGAGGAATGCTCTAAGGAGATACATAGGCTGAACAAGAAATTAGAGCGTTATGAAGGGACCGCTGACTTGATTGACCCCGAAGACCTGAAGAAGAATGTGAAGGGGATTATGTCACAGAAAGAGGGGCATACAGGGTCTGCACAAAAGAAAATAAGGAGGAGTATTGATTCTGAGGACAGGGGTGATGATGGAATTTGCTTCGATTATGACGAGGTAACCAATATTGGCAAGGAAGCAGAGAAGGAGTTAGAGAAAGGTGAATGGCAAGAGATGGAGGATGATAATTTGGAGAAAGCTGTAGAGAGTGAGGAGGATAAGAAAGAGGAAGTGACTGTGGATGAGAAGAAAGAGGAAGAGCGAGAGCAGGAGAAGAATGAGGAAGAGGAAGAGGAAGAGGAGAAAGTGGAAGAGGAAAAACATCAGAAGAAAGATGAAGAAATAGTGGTGGAGAACAGAGAGGGGGAATGTGCTGAGGAGAAGAAAGATGAAGAAAGGATGGAAAGTCTGGAAGAGGAAAAAGGAAAGAAGAAAGATGAAGAAAAAGTGGTGGAAAACAGAGAGGGAGAATGTGCTGAGGAGAAACTGGATGAAGAAAGGATGGAGGATGGAAAACAGGTGCAAGTTTATCAGAAGAGAATGAAGAGATTAGCGTCAAAGGGGACTAGGGGACCAAGTACCAGAAGGCGGACGCGCTCACAACTAGTCCGCACCCCTTTCACTCAAGAAAAGAAGAAGGAAGTTCATCAAGAGATAATTAACATATCACACCACAAGGAGGAAGAGAGGGAAAAAATCAGGTTCTATTGTAAGCCTGATGAATGCACTTGGGATTTTTTGGGGAAGAGGAAAATCAAGAAGAAGGAGGAGGCTCTTTTGAAGTTGCTGAACGAGGATATTCCTAACATTGATGATTTTAGCATACGTTTGATTGATAGTAAAGGAACCTTCGTTCACAACTTTAGAGTACCTCAACACGTATTATCAAAGCTCACACCAGATGAGAACAGAAGGATCTCTGAGTTTTGCAATCAAAAAGCCCATCAGTAAGTTTAGTCATTCTGAATAACGTATGCTAGGACATGTTAGCTTTCATTGTTACGTGTTAACATTTCCAGGTTTATGTTAATTATTACCCATTTATGCTAACGTTTGCTATAAAATGTTAGCTTTCATCGTTACGTGTTAACGTTTCCTTATTTATGTTAACTTATACTCATTTATGCTAACGTTTGCTAAATCATGTTAATATTTCCATATTTTTCTATAGTAAGTGGTTGAACGAGGTTTGGATCTTATTGTTATGTTTCAGGTCACGTGTTATTGTTAACACGTTCAACGGTATCTAGAGAGGCCAGATGTGGAGTCCATGGGCAACCAATATGGGGTTGTATCGACATTCTTCTGCGTAAGCATTAGGTTCAATCTCCTACCATTTTTATCTCATGTTTACAATTGGCTTATCATAATTTTTTGGCAATACAGCATAGTCTTTATGCAGTCACCCCAGATTTTCCACATCTATACACCTCTTTCATACAAAAGCATGTTGCCGCAAGGAAGAATGTACTCCTTATCCCGCTTGTGCGTCATGACCACTGGCATGTGGCTGAAGTAAGGTTGGATGAGGACGTTGTCAAGCATTATAGCTCGGCTGGCCATAGTGCATACGTTGAGCCAGTAAATAAAGTAATTGCATTCATGGACCATATGAAGTCTGGTTTCGATCCGAATAATATTTGGAGAAAGTTCCGATATGAAGCCGTCCCTTGTGAGCAACAGACTGGAATGTTAGTATTTCATGCATTTAAACATGTCTTAGTATGTTAACTAAATTTAAACATTTTCATTTTATTCAGCATGTTATATCTAACTATCTGCTCCATCTTATATCATGCAGCTTTGATTGTGGTCTTTTCGTTCCTTTATATATAAAGGCTATAATTCATGGGGTTGATACCACTCAAGTCACTAATCACTCTGACGAGTCTGAAGTCATCCGTGCCAGGCTTGCAGCTGAACTCCTAATAGAAGGATGGGAACAGAAAAATCAAGGGGAGACAGTGGAAAAGGATGGGTGAATGATATCCTAAAAAGTGTTGTGTACGAATTCATTGAATTGGGAACAAAACTAACTGGCATTTTAATTTAGTTAACATTATTGCAGCTTTGTATCATTCTCTTTGACAGTTATTCTACTGTTTGTGTAACTGGTTGATAGTGTGGATGAGAAGATGCACATATCTGGTTGTGAAACTGCCAAAAAATTGGTAAAAAAACCCACTTTCAGTAAAAGTTAACGTATAACTCTGATAGTTAACCACTTTCAGTAAAAGTTAACATATAACTCGAGAACATAACCACTTTCAGAAAATGTTAACATATAAGTGAGATAAATAATCACTTTCTTCAGCAAAAGTCTAACTAATATTTAACCACTTACAGCAAAAGTCTAACTAATATTTAACCACTTACAGCAAAAGTCTAACTAATATTTAACCACTTACAGCAAAAGTCTAACTAATATTTAACCACTTACAGCAAAAGTCTAACTAATATTTAACCACTTACAGCAAAAGCATAACAAACTGAAGTTTCTTCAGTTGATTTTCATCTTACAGATCACAATGTTGAAGAAAATTAGTACCATACAAAAACAACATAGGAAGAATGAGCAAAGTTTCCATTTTTCGACTTCACGGTTCGATTGCTTCAGTGCTTTCTTCAGTTGCTTTGTTTTGGTCGCTATCTCATCTTCAACGGGGACTTCTGGGCAGAATGAAATAATCTTACTGGGCATTGCATTCTCTTTGTGAGCCCAAGCAAAAAAATTGCATTGCATATTTGGGAAATTTGCACATCCCCAGAAGTATCTTCCTTTATTCTTCCCATTTTTGCACAGCCTCATGGGTGTTGGAATTTGACAGAAACAACACACCTCTTCTTGTGACTGAGATATCTCTGATGTTCTCATCTCACTCTCTCAAACTCCGAGTGCAGGGAAGATAGAACATACATTTAAATTTAGCTTGTCCATGGGCACATTATATATTGCATAAGGAACAAGAAACTAGCCGTTGTAATGAAGCTGTTAGCACAGTATGATGGACAGTTAGCCGTTAGAACAGTGAATGAGATGTTGGACATTTGGCCAATTTAAAATCAATATCTTTTTGAAAAATCTAAGATGAACAAGCACAAATCCGTTAACATCTTTCAGCCTTGCTTTTAGATATTGCTAGCATGAACAAAATGATTAGTCGATCATTATCACAGATTACAAAAGTCCACCACTATATACTTAACCACTTAAAAACAACCTTTGCTGTCTCATACAAAAGTATTGTTGTAAGAAACAGAAACACACTAGTCACCAGATGGGCTCGTTACAGGTTGCTCGATTGTGACCATCAACTTTGCACCGAGAACATTTGACTGGACGTTTGTAAATGGTTCTGTTGTTTATGCGTCTTGTTCTATTTCTTCCCCTCCTCTTAGTGGTAATTGGTGGCAAAATCTGTATTTCATCCCTGGACACACTCCGCTTCTCATAATCTGGGATGGGATATAATATTTCGTCGTAGCTCTTCTTAAACGCTTCTACGGACATGAACCAATCACAATATTGATATACGTCTCTTTTCATATAAATAATGACTGCACAAGCATGCACACAAGGAATACGGGTTACGTCCCAAGACCGGCAAGTGCACGTCCTCTTCTCCAAATCAACGTGAGTAGTTCTATGTGACTGCACTTCGAATATATCATCTCTAGATTGTTTAACCTCTAAAGTACGTCCTCTTTCCATATTTTCTCTAACAATCTTCTCAGCTTTAGGGCACAGATAGCTTGTCCACTTATCAGCCATTATCCGTCTATTGTTCAGGCGACTCATAATTTGTTTTCGGATATGCTCTATCATTTGCAGGATACGTAACAATCGAGCTGTTAAAGGATTCTGCAACATTAGAGGTTACATGACCATATCTGCAAAGCACAAAATAATTAATAGTATGATGGGCATCCAATATGTAATAAAATTAACACGTAACAACAAAACTTAACCTTTACTGCTCAAAGTTAACATAAAAACATCAGTGTTAACATATATTGCTGAAAGTTAACATATATCAGACAAAGTTAACCTATAGGAAGAAAAATTCACATATATGTAGAATAGTTAACATCAACTGCAAAACGTCATAATCTAAGATGAATGCATTACCTGATGCCAGGGAAGAATGCATTCGCCCATTTCTCTGGCGAATAACAGAGTACAATCTCATATGCGACTGGAGCCATCTCATAAATTTCCTTCATGTAGTCGTTCCATTCCGCTATAGTGTATTTATAGCAAGCAGATTGGAGCAAACTCCCCAAAACTTGTGTGTCCTTTGCTTTCAATCCCAAATCCTTTAGCTTTGTTCTAAAATTTTCAACTAGGTGCAGCACGCATCGTGAGTGGATTGCTTCAGGGAAATATTCTCTCACGGCTTCTCGAATCCCCTTGTCGGCATCAGAAATAATTACCAATTGGTGGGGAGGATTGTACGGGTCTAACCTTTCATACAGTATGGACCACAAGCCTTGAAGGAACCATCTCCAATTATCAACATTTTCCTGATCACATATACAATACGCAACCGGAAATATCCCTTGGTCTCCGTCGTATGCTATGGCGCTCAGGAGCATGCCTTTGTATCTGTCTTTCAAAAAGGTCCCATCCAAAAATAATAGGGGTCTACACCCATTTAAGAAACCAACGATGCAAGCGGCATAACATATAAACAGTCTTTTGAACCTTCCTTCATTCTGGTCAATGCATATGTAGCTTCCTGGATTCGTTTCCTTCACCTTTTGCTCATACCTGTACAACAATGTAGCTTCTGCTCAAGCATATATAATACATTGGAACATTAGGATAATATATTAACATAAAAGCTCACAAGTTTTCATAAAACATAACATTCCACAATGACAGTTGGAACATATCAATGAAAACTAACATGAAACATCTAAGGATGAGATATTGCATGATAAATCAACAACTAACAATTGTACTATAAGCGGCTATGATAAAAATTTGTACACTTAATAAAATAACTGTAAAATTTACCATCTTAATTGATCATAAGCCTCATAACTATCACCATACATATCCTCCTGCGCTCTTTCTTTGCCCCACCATATCTTACTGTATTCAAGTCTCAATCCATATCGAGTGAGGAACTCCTTTTGCACATCAATTGGTCGGATTTGAGGTCGCGCCTTTAATACCGGTCGCAATTGGGCTGCTATGAATTTACGAGATGCCCGTGATTGCCCTGAATTGTTAGCATGTTGTCCACAACTGTGTTCATTCACAAACCTTTTGATTTCAATTCTTTTACCATACTTAACAGGAGATGCAAAGAGCATCCAAGGGCATCCATATGTCTCCTTATATCGACAACATACTCGGATACGTTTGGGTTCATTCTTTACAAATTCATAGTCAAATTTTTTCGCCATGGAATAGTACTGCAAAGCTAGTCTCAATTCGTTTACAGTCTCAAATTGTTGCCCCTTTTCAGTTAATGTTGTGTGCCACCATTGAGGAATGCTGGAAGTGTTGTTGAGAATATCATCAGCTCTCATTACAACCTCACCAGACGGGAAATCATTTTGGATTCTCTCTGAATTGGATGCATTTCCTGGAGGAGGACGACTATATTCTGCATTCAAAGAGGCATCACTACTGCACAAATTAATCAACCAGTGAGATATCATGCACAATATGTTATATTATCTTCTGATAATTTAAGTTAACAGTAGTAGGACCAAAGGTAACATAGTACAACAAAAGTTAACTAACTGGGTGTAAAATTAACCATGTTCCCACGACAATTAACATGTTCATGTAAAGGTTAACATATCTCTTGGAAAATTAACCTATAAGATGAAGAGTTAACATCTAACCATCAGAGATGACAACTATTTTTTCCCAAGTTAGCATCGAAACCTGAAATCACAATTGGCTTATCATCACACATAGACCTGTTCCTGACAGAGTTCATTGTTTACTTACAAATCATTAATAACTTACATTGAGGGATTTGATGCCCATAAGGGATGGTTGAAAGTTGAAGAAAAAAATAACAATGTTTACATCACACAAAACCCAATGTTATAAAGAGTTCATTAATTACTTACATTTCCCTAATCTGATTTTTCCTTGAAGTGGAACACTCTACATTAACAGCAGCTTGCATGTGAATCTCCGTACAACCAATATTTCGATTGTGCTCCAACATGCACTTCAAATCATCATCGTTGTCAACTGAAAAACTGAGGTTGGGGTGCCTCTCAGATTTAAATATAAAGGATAAAGCTTCTTTAGGTACTTTCAATCTTTCAGACACATCAAATTGGAGTTCATCAAAGCTTGTTGTCGAACTTAGCTTCACGAATATGGCATTCTCGCCTAAAGACACCATGCAAATCAAGTCATTGGCGGCCATTAGGGGTGGTTGAAAGTTATGAGGACAGTAATGAAGGCAATTATGAGGAGTTGAGGAGTAATTGAGGGGATTTTAGGTGCAAAAGGGCTGTAGACAGTTAAAAAAAACCCTAATTTTATTAATGAGAGAGTGAGAGATAAAACTAACCAATTTATAACAAAGGATGATGAAGCAGACAATAATGGCGGGAGCCCGCGCTTTTTCCCCTCGCTTTCCCCCGTCACTTCGTCATAAATGCGTTGGGAGAGATCACCGAACAAGAGAACCCATTCAGCCGGTTTTCTCAGTGAGAGAGATGAGGGCATTTTCGGCAGGTAGCAATAAAATACACCCACTAGATGTATACGTATGGGCTTTTGGGTCTGGCCCACAATTTTCGCAATTTTTTGGGGCTGAAGGCTAAGGCAGATAATTGGGGGGGCTGGGCCACATCCGATTTTTGGTTTTGGGGCCTTGAAACATTTTTCCCTAAGTAAAAAGTAAAGCCGATTTTTGTACAACATTTCAAAAAAAAAAACCCTTAAAACTTCAGCTTTAAGTTGGGAAAATGGAAGGAAAAAATTCAGATTTTCGCAAATCGCAAGGGCAGTTTCGTAGATTTTTGAAAAAGTTGCGCAATTACTTTTTCCTCCCTCAGACCCAAAATAACTAGTACATGTAGTGGGCCGGCACTTTAACACTCTCACGTCCAGTATAGATTATAATAACCTCTCATTTTCTAATCAGTTGAAAATCTTTTGCGACAGCGAATCTCGATACCGATCGGCGACTGATCTTCCTCCAAACACTCACCAACTTGACGGCGGTCAGCTTCTCCGCGGAGCCCGGGACCGCTCCCTCTCTCTACCTTCCTCCATTTAATTAAGTAAAGATCTGCATTAAATTAGATTAAATTGAACTGAACCCCAATTCCCCACCATCTGCAGTCCGACGTCTTTGTTTCCGTTTTCGTGTCGGTGGCGTTTATCTAACGCTAGGGTCTTTGCTTGGCGGCTCTTGGATCTTTTCCTTGTTTAGGTAGGGTTTTGCGCGCTTGTGTGGTTGCTCGAGGAGCTTGGAAACGGAGATCAATGGAGTTGAGCTAGCTTGTATTCGGCGTGGCTGGAGATTTTGACTGCTCGATTTAGGGTTACTGTTCTTGCTAAGCTCTGTGAGCTTATTGAAGGGAATGCCGGGGTGCTTCCGTGGTTAATTTATTGGCTTAGGGTTCAAAATTTTGGTGAAATCGAGCATTTTGGCGGAAATGTTTTGATTTTTTTGGGTAAATTTCAGAGGAGGTTATGTGGTGCTTGATTCAAGGTGCATTTTTTTTTTGGATTTTGACTCTGAAAGTTTCCTCCACGTACGAGATTCAGATTTGGGAATTTTGAGGGTTTGCTGATGGACAATGGAGAGGGGTTTTTGTTGCTTGGATGAAATTGTGCAAACTGTGGATTTGTAATTGAATGTGTATCATTTGGGCAATTCTAAGGGCAAATACTGAAATTGTGATCGATCCTAGCGATATTAAAGGAATTGCAATTGATTTACGTGAAAGAATTTCCTGACACGTGAATGATCCAGTCATGCCAAGTATTAAAGCACCAGCCTCAAAACAGACCGCAACCCTATCAGTGAGTATTATTGTGGATTTATATACGCTTTTGTTTGTTACATGCTTTTATCTCTTGCGTCGTTGTGTTGGTTGTAGGTGGCTGTGAAATGCAGGCCCCTGACGGAGGGAGAGAAGCGGAGAAGCAGACATATCATTCAAGTTACAGACGAAAAGGTTTGAGAAGATCTACGTTTTCATTTTAGAATTCAGGAAGATACACGAGTATCAGTGTATTCGTTGATGACATGACATCTTGATGCATAAATTACAGGGTTTAGTTGTTTTAGACCCCGACTTGTCAAAGGACTACCTAGATCGGATACAGAATCGAACAAAAGAGAGAAGATATTCATTTGATCATGTGTTTGGACCTGAATGTACAAATGGGGTATGTCGCTTGTACCATTTACCTGAATGTAGCTTCACGATTAATTGTATTGATCATGTCCCATTTGCTGTGTGTTCTGCATTATTAAAGTAACAAAATAGTAGGCGTAGATTACTCATATGTGCCTAGAAGCTTAGGATTAGGGGTTTAAGGTAATTATGGAAATCATACATTCATCGACTGGTTCTCATACAAAGCCAAAGCCACCTGTTCAACTCACTGCAATTTCTTTAGTTACTAAAGCAATCATCCAGTAACCACATTTCTTTGATTAGAATCGGCTTCAACTGATTTAAACACATTGACAACTCAAAATATGCTCAGTGTTTCCCTGCTAAATCCTAAAAGTTTTCTCCTGTTGATTCTCAGGATGTTTATAGGAATATCTCTTCAACAATTGCTGGGGTTGTTCATGGCCTTAATGCAACTGTTTTTGCATATGGTTCAACTGGAAGGTACTATGTTCAGTGGCATTTGTTTTGTCCATAGATCCTTATCACTTCTTAACCCATACTAAAAATCATTATATGGCTTGCTTTGAATTATCTTTAACAAAATTCAGTATCCTTTACAATTTGGATGAGGATTCTAACACTTTGAAGGATAACGATTTCAATGATCGGAGAAATATCTTGCTGTGACAAGTTTTATGATTGCATTTTTTTGGGTCACTGTTCATAGATTCTAGATGGCATTATACTTTACATGTTCCCATGAATTATATAGAGTAGGCCTATATGAGAATACCAAGTAATAAGAACTACTTAAGTACTATCATTATGGAACCTTTCCATATACCAGCCTTTTCCATTTGATGTAATCCACAACTAGCAGCCAGAACCTTTGGGTGATCAATTTGTCAAGATGGCCGTTCTACTGTTGCAAGTAATTAGTGATAAATAATGGAACTTTCTTTTTGGTAAAATCTCACATACTGCACATGTTTAACAGTGGCAAAACTTACACAATGGTTGGGACACGTAATGATCCTGGACTCATGGTTCTTAGCTTACATACTATATTTGACCTTATAAAAGAGGACAAGAGCTCAGACACATTTGAAGTCGCATGTTCATATCTCGAAGTCTACAATGAAGTACGGTTAAATTGTTGATTCTCAGTACTCCTTTAATTTTACATAGTGAATGGTGATAACTTCTTGTATTTCTGGCTAATTCTAGGTCATCTATGACTTGCTTGAAAAATCATCAGGACACCTGGAGCTCAGAGAAGATCCAGTAAATGGCATAATAGTTGCTGGTTTAAGAAGTATTAAGGTCCTTTCTCTAATCTCATGTGTTCTTTTTCCTGGTGATTCACGCCAGTATCTTATTTATTGGTGTCACTGTAAACATTTTCTTGATTAAGTTTAGTGCAGTTAGTTAGCGTGAAGCATCTAATCTTGAATCTTTAGATTCTTTCATATCTTAGTTCTGTTGACCCGTTATGGAGCCATGAAAGTTTAATAATCTGTAGATTGAAAGCATCACATGATCTTTTAAACTCATTAAACAATGTAAAACAAGATGCCATGTTTATGCTTGTACTCAATAACATTTTAAATATTAATTATTGGCATTCTAATATTTATGGAGTAGCCAACCCCAAACATTTGGGATAAAGGCTTAGTGGTGGTGGTTGTTGTTTTTTTCTAATATTTATGGTTGAGATATTTTGAGATGTAGATAAATGATGTCGGTTATTGAACAATACATCTAGATATTCGGGTTTTAACTATCTAGTAGACAGTTTGTGAGTTCTGCAGGTTTGTCCCTGCTTGTCCTAACGATGTCTTTAGGATTTTGTACAGGTGGATTAATGGATCAGACAACGCTGATTAAAGGACTTAAAGATGATCTATGATGTGATTTGAACTAAAACATAAGGCCAATGAACGTCTCCTGGCTAGTAAATTGTACATGATATCAGCTGAGAGTCTCTAGACAATGAGAACTTTTTTAAGCATGCAAATTGCATGGTCTTGCGTGATCACTTCAATGGATAGTTTGGCTAATTCAACTCCTAGTGCAAATGGCAAGTGCAGCGGAGCATTACAAAACCAGTGCAGAATTCTGTTTCTCAAATTTAGTGAACTCCGATTCTATAGATAACCTCCTTGAATTTTCATTTGTAACTTACTGAATATGGGTGACATATTAGCAAAAGGTTGACTAGTTTATTGTATTGTAAAATTTTATAACAGAAGTTTATGGTAACATATTGGTGAGCACGTCAAGAGGTCCTTGGCATACTTGTTAAGCAGCGAGTAAATGGGAAGAGGAGGTCCGTGTTTAATATCCTGGAAGCATCAAACTATTTAATGAACCAATTTCTCCCTTAGAAAAAGAAGTATGTAAAAGAAAGAGGATAAAAAAGTTTAGGTTCAGCCAATACTCTTTGGTAGACATGTATAATGTGGACCCACTGAGTTCCCAGATGGCTATAACCTTAAATTGCCTCTAGTTGTCCCTGTGTTCAAGATTAGGTGATACTCTATCTTGATAGAACTGAAGCACGTTCTCTTTTGGATATTACCTTTTACCATACGGGCATATGGTGCATGTCTACCTGTCTTGTTGGTTAGAGGGCTTATATTTTAGTAAAATAATGCAGTAATCGCAGTTAATTTCGGCTTCTCTGCTTTCTTCGCCATTCTATTTTGTATTAAATGCATTTAGTTGCTCCTCATTTAAGACAGTACACAGCACTTGTCTATTTATTGGAGCTACTCAAATGCCTACAGTAATGTGGCCTGGAAATATATCTTTCTTTTATCTTTCCTGTAACTGTTCAATTTATTCAGGTCCATTCAGCTGACAGAATCCTTGAACTGTTGAATGTTGGTAATAGCAGACGTAAAACAGAAAGCACAGAGGCAAATGCAACTTCATCACGGTAAGTTCTACTTTCTGCACTGATTCATTAACAATTAGCGTTTCTTAATTATAAAAGTTAATGATGTATTTCTGTAACTAGTGCAAAAATTTGGTGGTTCATCAGACTTGTTTTTTCTGGTCCAAACCTTTATACACAATTATGCACTGTTTTGCTTTAAATTCATACTATTAAATAATGGATGCGGAGTTGGGTTGGGTTCAACGTGGGAAGGGGACAAAAACCCAAGAGACCGGCCCCACCTTTGTTTGCAAAAGCCTGAGGTTAGGATGGTTTGTGAGTCCAACCGTGTTGCACAAGACGGATACCTTTTGTTTTTCTGATTTCTGTCCATGATATCTCTGATTTCCTATCTACATTAGAGTTCTGTGTAACTCTTAGAATGAAGAAACAATTTTCTGTTTGTTCTGGCCCAATAGATCCCATGCCGTGCTGGAGATTACTGTGAAAAGAAAACAGAAAAACCAATACAAGAGTCAAGTTCTCCGTGGAAAACTTGCCCTAGTTGATCTTGCTGGAAGGTGATTACTCTGGATATTATTGTCTGCAATTTTATACTTCATCTGGAGCACGCATTTACATGCCATTTTTTCCACAGCGAGAGAGCTTCCGAAACAAATAATGGGGGGCAAAAGCTTAGAGATGGAGCCAATATCAACAAGTCACTCCTTGCTTTAGCAAATTGTATAAATGCCCTGGGAAAGCATCAGAAGAAGGGCCTTGCATATGTTCCTTATCGCAATAGGTAGCTGATCACTTTGTCTGTGCTGCAAATTTCCAGTTGTAGAAGACTAATGCTAATTTTTTGTGCAGCAAACTGACACGGATTCTGAAGGATGGACTTAGTGGAAATTCTCGAACTGTCATGGTAGCTACAATATCACCTGCTGATGATCAGTATCACCATACAGTCAACACCCTGAAGTATGCTGACCGAGCTAAAGAGATCAAGACACACATCCATGTAGCTCCTGTTCCTCTTGTTTTAAAATATGTTTCCAGTCAAGTTCTTAGGTCATACATTGTTCCCATAAGACACACCTTCAAACACATCAAAAAGAGTGAAGAAAATATCTGGATGGTGTTTTTCACTCTCACCTATACCATCTGCTTTTGTGACCAGATGTTAATGTCGAGTTACACCTCGAGAATTGACAGGGATGCGTGTTGGACTTGAAGAAGTGTTTAATATCAGAGAGTAAACACTATCCTGAACCCTGAGTTACTGAAATATAGTGGCAATCCATGCACAATCTACTTGTTGTTGTTACTATTTCTTCTGATTCCTTACTAGAATAAGTTGTTCCTTAAATCCTCCAAGCTTCTTATCCCATTTCTTAAATCACGACACATCCAATAGCTCGTCTGCCAATGACTCGTGCATTTCTTTGAGAAGGTCAAGATACTTGCCCAGCAGTTTCATTGTTGTCATCAATTTTCTTTTGATAGAGTATAAGTGATCAAATATTAAGAAGTCAACCATATCAGTTGTCCAATTGATTCTTCTGAATGGCACACCCTTGATAACGAACCTTATACATTTTTGCCAATACAGCAGTGTTTACTATATTAGATAATATTATCCTATTTGTTGACATGATAAATTCAAAGGTTAGGAACATAATATATGAAGTGAAATACCCGTCAGACCTGTACTGGCAAGATCAAGTTTGGTCAAAAGATTTCAGAATATAAAATGAATACACAAGTTGCTGTTAATATCCATTTATATCATTTGCTGGTTCTCTTTGTCACGAAGAATGCATCCGTCAAATGGCAAGGCAGATTCTATATTAGGATATTCTTTTCTAATGGAAGGCTTACCATTATAAGGGTGATGAAAGCAATCTCTTATCTTATGTTTATAATGGCAAACAAGAGGTTCTTTTTCCCTGGAGTTGACTAACAAACTAAGAGCATTCTTAAGCGGTGCTTAGCTCTCACTTTTTCTTGCTTTCTTTCAGAAAAATATCGGGACAGTTGATACTCATGTTGAGGACTACCAAAGGATGATTGAGAATCTCCAGGTTTACTCCTGAAAGAACTATATGTATTGCATCTGATGCAAACGTGAAATAATCTTACTTTTAGGTTGTCATAAATTAAATTGTGCAGGTTGAGGTTTGTCAGCTGAGAAAAGAACTAGCAAAGAAGGATTTTCAGCTAAGTGTCAAACCATTTGAAAAGGCAGCTGATGATGAGCTATCTTGGTTGAACATTCTAAGCCATGAAACCAGTGAAAATGTTCAGGAGCGCATCAATCTACAGAAGGCATTGTTTGAGCTTGAAGAAACCAATCTTCGGAACCGTATTGAGCTCCAACACCTTGATGATGCTATTGCCAAACAGCAGGTAGATAACTTGCATTTAACATGAAGATCCAATTTTTGGTATCCTTGTGTCAAATAAATCTGCGTCAATCAATATTTGACATTAAATTGATCTATGTTCTTTTGGTAATGACTTATGACAGAGTGACAAAAGTAAATGGAAATTCTATCAACTCTATGAGAACCTAAATATCCATTTATTCTTATTCTCCACCTTTTTCTGTCTGAAATCAATTACAGAATTATGTGCTATGCTGGTGAGTTACAATTGTGTATTTTTGAATAGAGAAAGCAAAGCACTCATTGACTGTAAATGCGAAATCACTAATATTAAGTCATAAACATGTACAATTTTGATTATGCACGGATTCCTGTACGGTCTGCAGTATCAGCTATAGGACGTACTATAAACATGCTTTACTTTAGATTCATCGCCACTACTTATTTTTTGCGCAAAGTGGCTGAACATTAGCAAGGAGCAGATTGTTGACATTTTACAGCTGCTGACAATATCCAGGTCACCGAAAAAAATGGAACAATAGTTCAAGCATTCAGATCAAGGAGACAAGTTATTCTTGATAACATACGCGACAATGATGAAGCTGGTGCCACTTACAAGAAGGTAGTCTCTCCTATTTATTCTTCTTAACACTGCCAAAAGAAATATTCTCTCTTTTAGTTCTGCATAAATTGCAGCAAACTTTCAACTAAGTGAAAATGTTTGACTTGTAATAGGATATTGAAGAAAATGAGAAACGCCGTTGCCAGCTCCAAAATATGATTGAGGAAGCAATCAGTAACAATGGCAATAAAACCTACTTGCATATTCTCAGTCAGTATAGGCTGTTGGTAAGTAGAAATATTATTGATCCACTTGAATTCCAACAAATATTGAATGTTATTATATAATATCATAATTGCTTAAACATACTATAAATTTAGGGAATGGCCAATACTGAGCTTCAGTTTGAAATGGCCATGCGTGATCAAGTAATACACAATCAAAGAGAAGCCTTGAGAAATCTGTGGAACATGCTCTTGGGTTTAGGACTCAAGCAGAAGCAAATAATGGATCTTGCTGCTAGACAAGGGGTAACCATTGAAGACTGGACAGTTCCTAATTCTTCTATTTCAATTGGCACGAAACACTCTCCGTCTTTTGCTCATGAATTATCACCTTCCATGCCATATCCTGTTGTCAATGGGAATCCTCATACCTCCATGGCTTGTGTTTTTCAGCATCACCAAGATTTCTGTTCGACATCTTATTTCAAAGGTCATTGTGATACTCAAACTGTATGCAGGCAGGAAAGTCGTAGCTCCTACTATTTGCTGTCACATGATAACCCTCACTTGAAGCATTGTACAAGCAGAAAGCCTGAGACATGTTTCGCCACTCCTGAAAAGCTTGTCATTGATAAATGCAGCTCTTATTCTCCAACTGAAACTGAGGCATGCGTATGCCATGAAGCAAGCTTTACGTCAGCATCTTGCGGCAATGGTGGTCACCAAGCAAAGGTTGAACTTCATCGCTGTTTTTTCCTAATAATTTTCCTAAGCTTTTGTCTGAGAATACCTGATGCTATCTGATGCTTTATCTTGCTCACTAACTTCAAATCAGTTAATAAAAGAGAGAGAGAGAGAGAGAGAAGAATATGAAACCAAAATTTCTCCTAGTTTTTCCTTTTATTCTTGAAATTTCTTTTGCTCACCAGGCAACAGAAAACATTTTTAAGCTCATTTTACTGCACATTCTTGTACTTTAACTTGGAACTAGATGCAACTTATGACTCAGTCTAGTTTCTGGTATTGGTTTATGATTCAACAAATGAGCATGCTCATATTCTTTACAGAAATTTACACCCTGCCATTAGATTGAAATAGAGCATTCTGGCTGTTTCATCATTGGTTGACAATAACAGTATCAGTTTCTTAATGTGTTCCTCTGCCTGTTTAAGCTCTCGAGCTGGACTTCTGGATTACTATAGACATGTAGTTCGTTTGCATACAAGTTTTAGTGGTTTGAAATTGACTACGTGGTTACTGTTTTCTATTTTGGAAATGAGAACGTATCGTAAATCATGCAGCATTTCGCTCCTTGGCAACATTTTGGCTGACTACTATTCTCAATTCTGTAAACAGGAACCATGCTTTGAAAATGGGCAAAAGCAGCAGGAAGACTCTACACCGGGACCAGATAATTGTCACGAGTGTGAAGAATCTGCGAGACATGCCGGAATGCCTCAATCTTTACTTCGAATCCCTTCAACCAAGTTTGTAATTTCTGGTGTTACCAATTCCCACAATTATTGCTGTCCAGAATTGTCCAAAATACAATCACCCTATAAGAAAGTTGTGCCAAGGAGCTCTAATCTTCCTGGGTCCTAAACTGAATATGAAAAAAAAAGGATGTGTTCTTTTATTTGTTTTATCCCTTCCCCTGTATAGTGTCTGTAGCAAAATGTAGGTTCAACACGAAGTTATATGAGCTCCTAGTGGGCGTTAACCCTGTCCAGTTGTTAGTTTGGTTAGTAGTTTTTGTTAGGTCAATTTTCATGAGCATTGATTCTCAGCTTAGATCCAGTCCGATACGGTGAGTCGGGAGATTTGTGGGCTCCTTTTGTAAGTGTTGTATGATCCACGGCCTTGTTTTGATTGGAAAGAGATGGTACGAGCGGATATGTTGCTATTTGTAAACATTTATTCAGTTCATTTAACCCTTTCTCACAACGATGTTATTGCGTTGTGTTTTGTAGTACGGTACTAACTTGCGGCCAGATGTTATTCCTGAGCCACCTGCTAAGTTTACGTGCGTTCATATTATTGGTATGTACGTAGTTTTTATTAACGTAAATGTCGTTACGGATGAAACTGCGTTTCAATCCTCTGACAATGTAGAATTTAAATCACAACATGTTCCAGTCGTCAAGAAGCAAATCTTCTCGGCCTCGATTCTGTGTCTGTCTTGTCATTTTATCAACTGCCTACTTATGGCTTATACTTAGATTCATCCAGCTTGTTTTTTTAGGTCTTTTTTCCGCCCTACTACAGAGCTTTGCTCTTATGCTGAACATATAAAATTATGTAAAATAAAAATGGTGCCAAGCAAACAAAACGATTTTGGAGATTTTTAGATTGGGCTTGTATTCTAGCGCCCCCCACCAAAACCCCAACAATGCGACAACCTCAAAAAAAAAAAAAAAGAAAAAAAAAGAAAAGGTCTTATGCACTAGTTTTTCAGTAGTATGGTGGTGTTGTTTCTCTACATATTGACCCCAAGTTCCTGTCGATCATTGACGGGAACA